CGCCCCACGCGCGCCCCTCACCAGTCGTAATCCACCACCGCGATGCTGAGCCCCACGTTCTCCACGCTCTCGGGGGCCACGTCGAACACCAGCGCCTCGTTGTACGTGGGGTTCAGCGTGTTCTTCTTGATGGAGGTTTTGCGCTTTTTCAGACGCCGCCCCTCGCTGATCAGAGAGGCCTTTACGTAGGGGTCTGGTGGCCGGAATGGGGGCCGCTGAAGGAGGCCTCCTCCCTCGCACCCCCGTCCGCCCGGCCTCCTCCCTCGGACCGGCCCGGGCCCCTGCTGCCCCGCTTGCGCCCCAGCTCACCCGAGAAGCCCGTGAGGTCCATCGCTTTGAGGTTAGAGGCTTTAATGATGGTCACGGTGAGGCGCCCGGCCGTGGGGAGGTAGCAGAGTGAGAAGTTGAGCTCCCCAAGATCTGCCTTTTCCTGCAGCGGGGAGCGGGGCTCAGGGACTCGGGCCCTGTGCCCCGCTGCTGTCCGCCCCGGCCCCGGGCCCCTCCCCAACCCGGAGCTCCGTGCTATCCCCAGCCGCTTAGCAGTCTTGAGTCTGGGCCAAAGCTCTGTAGCTCCTCAGACACAGCTGCCGGGACTGTCAAAGCCCATTTGTTCTGCAGGAAGCCGGTAAGAGGCAGGAGGGAGGCAGAGAGAGAGAGAGAGAGAGAGGAACAGAGACAGAGGCAGAGGCAGAGAGAGAGGCAGAGCCCTAGGAGGAACCCCAGAAAGAGGCGGACAGAGAGGGGGACTGGGACAGTGCAAGGGGGGATGGGCGGGGGGAGAGTTTGGAGCCCCAGAAGAGTGAAGGACGAGGTGTGGACTGCACCCCACACACACACGGAAAGGGAAAGACCACAGGGCAGCGTGGGACAAGGAGCCACAGAGAAGCCAGCCTAGGGAGGCCACGGTCCTCCACACCTGGCCAGACTTCAGGGGACAGACGCCTCCCTCCTGGGCCGGCAGCCAGAGCCTGTCAGGCCCCGCCTCCCGCCCCAGGGCCTCCGCCCCAGCCTTGTTCAGGGTCCCCATCACCTCCTCAGCCTTCAAGGCCTTGTGGTCACCTCGTCCCACAAGTTCCTGGGTCCCCACAGCCCTGAGCAGGTGCCCTCCTTGGGTTCCATAACCCTGAACCTTGCTGCCAGCTCTGGGATCTAGACCTGCAGCCCCGGACTTTCCCGCTGGGGGACTGAGTGAGCCAGTGAGTGAATGAGGAAGACCTCAGGGGACAACGATAGGAAGAGCTGAGAAGAGCCAGGCACAGGGAGACCAGCTGGACACAGAGAAGACAGGTGGGGAACAGGCTGGGAGCAAGTCCCCTCCTGACATGAGGACCAGGCTCACTCTGGTCCCCGCGGCCTCCCTGCCCTGCAAGACCCAGAATGCTGGGTGATCTGCCCGTTAGGATGGGGGGTAAGGAGTGGGCTGTCTGAGGCTTGGGGGTGCTGAGGAGGGGCTGGGACACATGGGAAAATGACCTGCCGGATGGGGGGGTCATGAGAAACGGAGACAAGGCCGCTGGGAAGTGGGGGTCACGGGCCTTACAGTCTGGACACTCGGAGGGCGAGGGGGCCGCCCTGGGCACCCAGGCTCACGGGATTCGGGGGAGGGGACCACGGAGAACACAGGGACAGCACAGGAAACTTCTCAAGGTCATGGGTTTGAAAAATGGAGCCGTTCCGAGCTCAGAGAGGGCTGGGCTTCCAGAACAGCAGAAACTAGGGTGGGAGGTTGGAAGGCAGAGGAAAAGTGGAAAGCAAGGTCAACAGCCGGAAATCCACGGGCAAAGGCGGATGTCACGGGGTGCTGGCTAGAAGTCACCGGAGGTCAGCTGTCGGGAAATGGGGGACCCAGTCCTGAAGCTAACAGGTGACCAGGTTGGGGGGCCAGGGGCCCATCATGTCACTCCTGACTGTGGCTTGGACACGTGCAGTAAAATCCAAGGACTCTCGAGGAAGGAGGAGGTTACGAGGTCCCAGGCCACAAACCGAAGGGTCTCGGGGGGTGGGGGAAGGGAAGTGAGCGGAGGGGCCGCTGGGGCTCAGGGGCACTGACCGAGCCGCCCTCCATGATGTCCCTCCAGAGCGGGCGGTCGGGGGGCTGCTCAGCCAGCTCCAGGAGGTTGTCCAGCACCACCTGGCCAATGAGGTCGTGCCGGGAGAAGCGGTCAAAGTCATAGACGCTGAAGTGCAGCTTGCGCTGGGCCAGCTCAGCCAGGGGCACTGAGAATTGGAACGTCTCATTGAAGATGGGGTTCAGGGTCTTCCTGTGCACCTGCGGGGGTGGGTGAGAGCAGCCATGCAGACGCCGCGGCCTTCGCAGTTCCCCCCCCAGGGCCCAGAGGCCTGGCTCCCAGCCCTCCGCCCTCAGACCTAGGAGTCTGGCCCGGGTCCCCTGATGTCCAGCCACCGCCCCGGACCTTGGTCTGAAATTTCTTCTTGCGGTCAGGCAGCAGGTAGATCTTCACGTAGGGGTCTGAGAAGCCATTGGAGTCCTTGGCCGGGAGGTCCAAGGCCTGCAGGATCCGTACCACCAGCTGGTCGGAGCCGTAGAGGTACCGCAGGGCAAAGCTGATGCGGCCACAGGAGGTCCCTGCCTCTCCCGAGCCCCCGCCGCCCCTCCGGCCCCCGGGCCCTGTCCCCTGGTACAGCTCAGGCTTGATCTGCCCGATGAGTTTGGCCTTCTCCTCGCCACCGGGCAGGGGCAGGGGCAGGGCGGGCGGCCGCTCCTCGCTGCTGGGGTCCGGCTGCATGGTCAGGGTCTGCTGCGTGAGGGGCCGCGGCAGGGCTGGGTACCTGTGCATGGGGGGGAGACCGAGGCAGGGTCTGTGGCTCTGATCTCTGCCTGCCTCTTCTCACCCCGGCCCTGGGCCACTCATTCCGTCCTCGGTGTCAGTGGACCTGGGACGCGCCACTTGCGCACTCAGAGCCTCAGTTTCCCCACTGGTATCTAGAGAGAGGAGTTTGCCCCATCTCTAAGCTCCCTCCAGCCCAGACCGTGGATCTCGAACTGGTGACCCAAGATGACCTCTCCCGCCCAGCTCAGGCCCCCGAGCCCTCTCTGTCTCCCTGTCCACCTTCCCAGCCTGCCCCATCCTCTCGACCCCCACCGCCCTAGTCCCAGCTGAGGTTGGTCCTTCCCCACCTGGCCTCTTGGCCTCCCGTCTCTCCCTCCTGTCATCCACGCATGGCCGCAGAGGGTCTCTCTGTGCTAGAGTGGACCCTACTTACGGCCCTCCAGTGCTCCCCCGTGCCCTCGGCCTGCCATCCGGGGCCCTGGCTGGGTGAGGTCTGCAGCCGTATCTCCTGTGTTCTTGCAGACTTGCTCTCCTGCCCTAGTGCCTGGCTGCTCCCACAATGCCCTGCGCCCTTCCCCCTCTGGCCTCTGCCCTGGCCGATCTGCCGCCCACCCTCCGCCTCTCTGCCCGGCTGACACTGAGGTCTCAGCCAAGAGACCGTCACCACCAGCCTGAGCAGGTCACGGGGACCTCCTGGGCACCCCCGTAGTTCCCTGAGCTGCTTTTCCGCTCCTTGCATTCCCGAGACTGAGAACCATGCAGCTGGAGTGCAGGGTCTTCCCGGCACCTGGTACTGGATTCTCAGGGTACACGTGTAGAAGAGGAATAAGGAAGCACGGACTGCAGGCCCCCGCTGCTAGTCCTGGCTCGAGTGACAGGGACACAGGCATCCGCAGGCCCCTCCTCCCCCCGCCCCACCCTCTCTGTCTCAGATCTGGAAGTCCAGGGCCCCAGCCTGCTCATGCTCCCGGATCTGGGGGTCATCACCCCCATCTCCTTCCTGCACAGAACTCGGAAGAGCCACAGATGGGGACGGACACAGACGGGCAGCCGACTTCGGAGTGGACCCTAGCCCGTCACCTGTCTCACCTGGTGCTGGGAGCGAGGCTTGTGACCTGCTGATGCGACTGGGCACTGGGCAGGCCGCCCCCACTGGGCGGCAGCAGCAGCAGCCCAGAGCCCGCCCCGGCCTCGGAGGGCAGCTCAGGAGAGGTCTGGCTCGGCTTGACCCCGGCAGCCACCACAGCAGCAGCTGCAGCCTCTGGATATGAGTCCATGTCCAAGTAGGAGGGCTCAGGGGGGTCAGAGCCCCCCAGGACGCCCGGCTCCAGCAGCTCGGCGAAAGGCGGGTGGTGGGCAGCGTGAGCATGGTGGTGGGGGCCGCCCAACAGAGGGTGGCCACCCAGACCGGCCCCCAGGTGCCCGCCACCGCCCACCAGGCCCGCCAGCCCCACCCCAGGGCCCAGGTCTTTGCGCAGGGGGCCTCCGCCCACCGCCGAGCCTCCCTTGTCCCTCCAGGGCACCCAGCACAACTTCCAGGACACGAAGAGGGAGACGCCCAGGAGGACAATGCCACAGAACGTCACGATGACCGACAGCAGACTCACGGAAATGTCTGGAAAAGAGTGAAGACAGAGGTCAGGGTCAGGGTGGCTCGGCTGTGCCCCGAGGGCCAATCCCAGTCGCTGGCATGGATCATCCCGAGCACTTCGTACATAGGATTAAAACTCTGAAACCCTCCGGGAGGTGTTTCCGAAAACTGCTTTAGACATCGTGAGGGGTGCTGGGCCCTGCGCATGGTAAAGGACAGGTCTGAACACTGTAGTCGCCTCCAGATTTTACTTTCTTTTTTCCAGTAGTGGGGATTGAACTCAAGGCCTTCACACTGAGTTGCATCCCCAGCCTGTTTTATTTTTCCAGACAGAGTCTCACTAAGTTACCAGATTGCCTGGCCCAGGCTCGAACGTGTCCTCCCAGGGACTGGGATTACGGATGTGCACCCCGCCACTGCACCCAGCCAGATTTTACTCTTAATCACTATCCCCCTCGGCCTCTGTAAGAGGACACAGTATCTGAGGTAGGACCAAGCCCCGCCCTCTCCTCCACCCAGCAATAACCCAGGAAGTATGAATGCTGTTCAGCGGGTCAGAACTCAGATCACAGCTTGCTGTACGGCCTCAGGAACCCGTTTTAACCCCTCTGAGCCTTACACTGTCTGTTTGCCAGATGGGAACAATCAGTCCTTTCCTTAGGTTTAGGGGAACACAGAAGGCATATGGCATGAAGGAGTCAAACCCATTTTCCAGTGATATAGACTGAGGTTGACAGATGCAATATCACCTGCCCAACGTCCCACAACTGGGGGTTGGTGGGGGTCTGTCCTTCCTCGTGGGGCTGTTATGGTGCCTCAGGCCTTCCCAGTGAGTGGCAGTTCAAATGTGACTTGAACTTAGAATAATCAGCTCCGTTGTGCCATCATCGTAACCAGCAGCCTCCAAATGCCTGGATGTGTGGCTCTGCCTTTAGAGAACTTTGTGCAGCCCCAAGCTTGGGGCTCATTCAGTGATTGGTACCAGGAGTGGGGTCCTAGAATGACACTCAAGGAAGTGCACACTTGTTTGGGACTTGGCTTCTGGTCCAGGGAAGGAAAAGAAGGGGATTCTCTGCTCCAGCCACGCTGTGAGCCATGGTGGTGGTGCCAGGGGCTCCACCCTCACCAGCAGGGATGATGCCATGTTCAGGGATGGCAGCCAGAGGGGGCGCCCTCTGCGACGGTACTGCTCAATGCGTGACATCAACCCTCAGATGCTGCAACCTAGGGAGGACTTGTCCCACTTCCTGAGAAAGCTGGGACTCTGAGACAGAGGAAGTGACCCTGCAGGGCTGTTTGCCAGACCCTGGCTGAAAGCTCCTGAGTCTCTTCCTGTCCCCTCTCTTGGGCAGCTCTTTCTATGCTTGCTGTGAGTTCTGGAGACCATGAGAACCAGAGGCAAGGACTTCATCAGCTTCCTGGATGTGGGAAGCATTGAGGTGATGGGTCACCATGTGGAAAATGGACCAGACACTTGTCAGCTGGACCCAGACCCTGCCCAATGCACAGTGAGCCTGGCAGGGGCCCTGTTCCTGCCTGCATAGCCTGGAAAGGACAAGGTCACCCAGCTCCTAGGAGGGCACCTGTCAGGACAGGTAGACAGACAGACAGACAGACAGGGGCTCAGGGCGTGCAGCATTCTCTCTGGTGAGATTGTCTTGGTCACCCGGACCTCAGGCCATGCTGGGCAGTCTTTACCAACACTATGACTTAAGCCAGGGGCTGCAGACACTCAGGGGTCAGCCATGTCTACGTGACCAACCTCCAAATAGACGCTGGCACTAAGGCTCGGGTGGGCTGGTGGTGACATTCAGATTGAATGTCTGGGCAACTGATTTGAATCACCACATCTGGTGATATACCACATCTGGAGGAGACCTTGGTTGGCCATAGTTACAGGGAAAAACTCAAAAGGCCCGGGCCCAGCGGGCAGAGCACACAGCTCCTTCTCCTCAGACCAGAGGTCTGGGGAAGAGGGTAGCAGCAGGCAGGGTGGAGGCCAGACTCACTGGGCCTGGCCCAAAGGGAAGGGGAAGTTGAGCACGCCTCTCTCCCCAAAAGCCCTGGTCATCACGCAGGCTGAGGGTTGGCTGAGATGCGTGGAGGGGGGTCTGACCTGCATCGGGGCCGCGGGGGTAGCCAGGAATCCGGCTGTTGAACTCCTGGCACCTGTCTCTGGTGTCGGCATCTCGGAACCGCGCACAGAGCTCCGAGACCAGGATGAGTGCCCGCCGGCACAGGTCTTCCTCATAGTCTCCAGACATGGTGGCCACCTGCTCCTTGCTTGGGAGGCTGGGGGAAGGTACAGGAGGTGGGCAGGAGGCGGGCAGGGGTGCAGGGATATGGGTGGGAGGGGGGATGGGTAAAGAGAGCAGAGGTGGGGTGGGCAGATCAGGGGCCAGGAGCAGAGGCAGAGGGACAAGGGACAGATATTGGTGGGAAGGAGGATGAGGGGAAAGATGAGAAGCAGAGAGACACAAAGGCCAAAAGTAGAGGTGGGCAAGAAAAGAAGAACAGGGTTGGACACACCAAGGTGACAGGGGTAGGTGTAAATGGACAGGAGGACGGAGAACCAGGCCAGGTACACGAGGAAGAGGACCCTGAGGAGGCCGGCAAAGGGACAGAGTCAGGATGCACAAGTAAAGGGACGGGCAGACAAGGAGTCAAAGGTTAGGGTGCACAGGGGAAGGGTCAGATTTAGGGACGAGCGTACAAGATGATGCCACACTCATTCATTCAACAAACGCCCATCGGGAGTCAACTGCGCACCAGGCACCGTGCGGGCTGCGTCAAATACAGCAAGAAAGTAAGGATGGGGTGCCCCGACTTCCTGGTGTCCTGATCCAAGTGGAGGGGACAAGGAGGAAGCCAGAAAGCCAACACACACCAACAAGAGGGACGCTGGAAGGCTGTGAGGCGTGCTTTAAGAGAAGCTCAGCTGGACGGGGTGTGCCCCCAGGACTGGGACAGGGACGTCTGTGTGGGCTCCCTGGGATGGGAAAAGCGTTCAGGCTGCAGGAACAGCACCAGCAGGGGCTCAGGTGGGAAAGCGCTGGGGAAGGAGCCAGCCTGGGATGGACAGGGAGCCCGCCAGGAGGAGGGAGAGAGAAGGGGCAGCCGTGGTGGTGGCTGCGGAGGGTGGAGATGAAGGTGAGGGACTGAGAGATTGGGCAGCAGAGACAGAGGAAGGAGGGCAAATGAGGGCCCGGAGGAGAAGGGACGGGGAGTCGAGCATTCAGACTCCGGGTGAGAGCAACCGAAAAGATCGAGCCAGCGTGGGATTCCTGGGGACGGAGAGATGGGTGGAGAGAAGGGCAGGCGGGAGTGTGGCAGAAATATCTCCGAGAGAGAGCCAGTGGCCCCAGAGAGAGGGGTATGCAGCGGGGAAGGACAGACAGACCCAGGATGGCTGGACGGCACAGACAGAAGCAGGCTGGAGAGGATGGCTGAGGAAGCGGGGACGGGGGCATGAGCGAGGGGCCAGGAGAGAGAGGTGGATGGGGGGATGGGCGACCCACGGCCGGGAGCCAGGCATCGGAGAGTTGGAAGGCGCATGAGGAGCGGAATTAAGGAGGGACAGACAGACAGGGCTCACAGATGGGCAGGTGTCCTGGGGGTGCAGCTCAGCGCCAGGACTCGGAGGCGGGCATGGCCAGACTCACCTGTGCTTATCCCTGCCTGGTCTTGGGCGGCAGCCGAGGCGGCGGCGGGCGGCAGCCCATGGGGGCTGCAGGGCGGACTAGGGGCTGCGGACCGTCCCCACGCCCCACGAGCGCCGGGTGGTGGTAAGGGGTGTCAGATCTGGGTTAGGGGGGTGAGGCCCGGAGAAAAAGCTCAGCCCTAGCCACACATCTTGCCCTAGATGAGAGCCCGACCCCAGGCGACCTCGGGGGTCCAGCCGCCTCCTCCCACCTCGGGCACCCCCCAAGCTAGCGGTAAGCGCTTGGGAACTACAACTCCCGGCAGGGCTCGCGTTCGCGCGGCTGCGGCTCCCCTGGTCCGCTGCCGCGGGGCATACTGGGAGTTGAAGTCTTTAATGCCTCTCTGGGCTGCAGAGAGGATG